TCATAGGAGCAGAGAGGCTGAGGCTGACGTTTCGGGCCTTTGCTGTGACAGGATGGAACAAAAATGAGCTGAATACTCCCTATTAAGTTGTTCATTTTTAAAAATCTTTCATATGCAAATTACACACAGAAATTTGTTATAGCTCCAAATATGAATAATACAGTAAACAGAATTAAAATATTCAGTGTGAACTATTAATTGTAGTTTATAATTGCATTTATTAGTGGAGATCTGACTGATTACTATCATCCTAACCTGATTCTAGACCTGCTGCCTCAGACACTAATCAGAAATCACATCACCTCCAACATTTATATCCTCTTGTATTTTTTTTTGTATCCACGACAAAAACTTAAAATTTGTAGAGCTGCAAACTCTAAACAAAGGGTGATAATACTTTGGTAGCTAAAACACAACATGTGCCTGCTGCTAAGAGACTTGGCTACAATAACTGAGGCTGACAACATACCCATGGGATGAACTCCAGAACGGAGTTTTGGAGTTCAGGAGTTCATCCCATGGGTTTAAATTGGACATCTCTGACTTTTGCTTCATGCTCCCAAGTGCTTCTGCCTCATTTCTGGTGCTTCCTTACGTTAAAACAAATGGGCACAATGTACAATTTGCAGCAGTTCATTATTGGCAGCAACAGCAACACCAGCTCCCTCCCCATCCCCACCCCTTGGTGTTCCTTCTTTAAAAACACAGCTCCTCCATCATAATGGCCTCCCCTAAACAGGCATCCTCCTGAAAAATCTCTAACTTTGCAATTCCCACCAATCAATGCATAATATTTTTAACATATCAGTGTATAATGTAAGGTAAAGTGGCCATAGCCCCAGAGAATCATAGGATCGCTCTCTCATTAGACAGAGAGGGCTCATGGTGGTTTAACCTGAGGGTCACCATGCTTCAGGGAAGGGGAGAGGTTCAGAAGGCCTCCTTCATGGTAAGATTAGCTGGTGCAGGAGTTGAGCCCACACTGCCACGATGCCAATCACCCTGCATCACAAATCAGCCATCTGGCCAACTGCAATTGAGATGTATTCCACATCAGATTGACGAGCAAAATGTAAACAGAAGACTAGTATTGTGGGTGAGCAACTGGGGGAAGAGATGTATGCATGATTGTTGTGCTCATGATGCAGTTGTATATGGTTAATAGGAGCCAAATGGTTGGAAGTGAACACATGGGTGTTATTTAACAGCAGTGAGTGTAGATCTTATCCCTGGCTGGACAGCCAGTGACAGTACCTCATTCCCTCTTTTTTACAGGATGTGGCGTATTAAATTAACTGGACAGCGGCTGCTTTTCCTCGGGACCTAGAGCTGACTACAGCCTAGAATATTTTTGTTTGACATTCCCTGCATGCCATTGGCTATGACTAGCTTTCTCACTGGCATAGCACTTCAAAATTGTAAAGTAATCCTACCAATCTGTGAACCATTGTTATGAATGCACTTGGAATATAATGCATAATTGAAGTTATTATAGTGAAGACAGCAATTACAACTTTTGAAAGGATATGGAAACAAGCAACCAGAATGATTGAGAGGGTAGAGGGATTGGATTACACAGAAGGCTCATTTACATTGGGTACGTTTTCATTGAAATATGGAGGATAAGTGGTGAAATTATTCCTACTTTTAGGATTCAGAAAAGACAGGATAACATAAACCAGTATACAAAGGCAACATACTGTGGATGTTGGAAATCTTAAATAAAAGCACAAAATGCTGGAAATACTGTTAAGGAGGTCACTGATCTAAACCACTAACTCTACTTTTCTTTAGACTCTGACATTTTTTCCTGATTCTAGACTCACCAGCAAGGGGAAACATCCTATCTGTATCCACCTTGTCATGCCCTGTAAGAATTTTGCAAGTTTGAATGAGATCACCTCTCATTCTTTGAGATGCTAGAGATTACAGGTCCAGTCTCCTCAAACTCTCCTCATAAAACAATTCTGCCATCCAGGGATTAATTTGGTGAACTCTTTTGCACTCCCTCGAAGGCAAAAAATATCCTTCCTTAGATAAGGAAACAGAAATTGTACACAATACTACAACAGAGTTCTCACCAACATATTTTACAACTGCAGCAAGACATCCTCACTCTGTAATCAAATTCCTTGAAATGAATACCAATGCTTAGTTTTGCTTGCCTCACCAACATACTATATTTTTGGTGACACATGAACAATGATGCCAGACCACTTTGGATACCCACACTTTTCAATTGCTCACCATTTAAGAAGTATTCTGCCTCTCTATTTTTACTACTAAACTGAATAACTTTATGTTCATTTACGTTATATTCCATCTGCCATATTCCAGACCATTCACTAACCTGTCCAAATCTTCTAAGTCTACTTGCACTCTCGTCATAACTTGCATTCCTACCTAGTTTGGTGACATCAGCAAATTTGGAAATATTAAATTGGTTCCCACAACCAAATCATTTACATAGATTATGAACAGTTGTGAATCTAGCACTGATCCTTTTACTTCCTCATTGGTAACAACCAGTTATCCTGAGAATGATTTGTTTTTCCTACTCTCTATTTTCTAGTATTTGCAATCTATGCAAAGATATTCCTCCCAGTCCAATGAGCTCTAATTTTATTTACTAACTTCCTGCATGGAGATAGAAGCCTTCTGAAGATCCAAATACACCACAGTCACAGGGTCTTCTTTGTCTATTCTACAAGTAACATCCTCAAAAAACTCCAGCAAGTTAATCAAGCATGATTTCTCTTTCCTTAATTATGTCATCTCTGTCTATTTTAACCATTCTTCTCCAAATATTAAGTTATTATGTTTTTCGTATTTACACACGTTCTTACATTTTCCTTATAGGACGTCAAGCTAAAAAGTCTACAGTTTTCCATGCTCCCTCCTGTCTTGAATAGTGGGGTTACATTTGCTATCTTCCAGCCTTCAGGGCCTTGTGAGAAACCACAGAATTACAAAAGATAATCGCCAAGCATCCATTATCTCTATTGTTACTTCTTTCAGCACTCTGGGATAAAATTCATTTGGTGCAGAAGATTTAGCAACTCTTAATTCAATCTAGCTAATTTTTCAAGTACCACCTCTTTAACAATATTATTTTCTTTCCACTCTCCAGTTACACAGGTCACTTGGTCATCTGGTATTTATGGAGGATTTTCTGTCCCATCTTCTGTGAAGGCAGATACAAAGTAACTTTCATTTCTCTCTTATTTCCCTCTTACTGTAAATTTTTCTGTTTTCCATCTGTAATGGACCCACATTTATCCTTACTGTCCTTATTTTCCCTTTCACATATAGCTTTTACAGTCCACCTTATTTCCCTTGCGAACATTCATATTCTGCTTTCCCTTCACTTATCAGTTTCTTGACCTTCCTTTGCTGAGTCCTAAATTTCTCCTAATCCTCAGGTTTACCACTATTTGACATTCTTATAGGCTATTTTCATCAATTCCCAATAATACTTGATTCCCCCTACTGTTTCGTAGCTCTATTCAGACTGCTTCTACATCTCAATTCTTTATAGTTCCTCTCTTACTAATGTAATCTCCTTTCCCTCTGTCTCTATCCCTGATAAACGTAGAATATCCTTGGATATTCAGTTCCCAAACTTGGCCAGCCATGGCTCTGTAACAGCAATTAAATCAAATTCACTTGCCTCAATTTTGTGACTTCAAATCATTTATCTTTTTGTGAATGAACACAAATAAAGTACCTTTAATTGAGTCTTGTAGCATCATTTTCCATTTTGATCCTATTTTATAGCTGTAATTTCTTCATCTTTTATTTTTATTTGCAGCACTTCTGCTTTTGTTTACTAGCTGTGCTTCCTTTCGATATGAGCTCCCTCTTTTGTACCGATCCTCCTGCCAGTCCTGTTTAAACCCTCCCCCAATGCAAAAAGGGAGAAAATGGCTTCCAGGTAGAAGGTCCAATGCATGATCGAGATAGACGGACACGTAGGCACAATGGGCCGAACAGCCTACTCCTTCTATTTCTTACGTTCCTAGGCTATTTTACCTTACGCAGAACTGCTGAATCGGAAAAGTGGGTGAAAATTCAAAACTAAGCTGCAAAAACAATATTTCAATGATTTAGTGTGCAGCTTCTGGAGCAAATTCTCTAGGGAAAAATGGTGGAAGCAGATAATATTGATTCATTCCAATACAAACGAGGTAGTTTTGAAAATAAATCCAACGTTCTGTGGGTAGAACGTGAGTAATCTCAACTACGACAAGCGCGCCACTTCTAGAAAGAAAACTGTGAGCAGTTTCTTTCTATGTTATGTACTTTATATTTTCTCCTTATCGACGTCTTCAGAGCCTTTATTAAACACTAGCGAATGTAGAACTTGAACCCGAGTCTCCTGGCCCAGAGATTGGAGCACTACCACCAGGCTGCATGAACCCTCCAATACTCCCTGCTTTGTTGTTAATTAGAGATTAATTTACAATTTCATTGTCATGTGACTACCAGGAATCGGTAGATGGAAAACTAAGGATGTTTTTTTTTCCACGATTCTCAATTTGGGTGTTTGTTCTGACCTGTAATTACTATGTTTTCAAATCTAAACTGGTTATTAGTCTATAAAACAGCTAATGTCACTTGCTCCTAAATCACATTAACAATAATTTTGAGTCCGTTCTCAATCACATGAGCATTATTTTCTTATTGCCCCTTGTCCCTCAGAATGTAAGCCACCTGTTCGGGAACCGAGCTGATGTTTTTCCTGGAATATGTGAAACACAAATTAACCAGTTCGCCGCTGGTGTTTATATCAGATATCAGTGGGTCATTTCTGACCTTAAAAGTAGCAAACTGTCACTAAACAAATATGGTCAAGATCCCATTTCTTCCAGCACCCTCTGTCTGATGTTAGAAATTCGATCAGCCACTTTGTTTGGGACGAGAGGGTTAAAGGATAACGCCAGTGAATTGTTCCCGAGCGGAAAGTGTTAAACTGTTTGAATGAAAGAGTAGTGCTCTATTCACATTGCGTGCACACACACTGTTAGTGCTACCTCATTGGGAGGGACCAGTGTGATTTACCGAGGCTTCTCCAGACCCAGGTCGGTCCAAATGCAGAAGGAGTTCCTTCGCCTTCCGTTGCCCATTCGGGTTTATTAGGTACTAACTGAAAGAAAGAGGGACTCGAAGGAATGCAGATGACGCGGATGCTCCAGATCGGTTTCCTGACGATTCTGTTGTTAATGGTCTTGAGTTCTTACTGGTTTAACCGGATTCAATTCAAGTGGAGATCGGATAAATCGAAGAAGCCTGGTAGACTCTCACAGAGAGAGCTTTCCAACTGGGAGTCTGTCTGTGAACCTTTCTTCAAGGGGGAGAAAGTTTTCCTTTGGAAGGAGCAGCCTTCGGCAGTACCCCGGCCCTCAGACGCTGCAGAGACCGAGGACTACTGCGATAACCTGGAAGGGCTGCTTCACTATTCCCAAATCCCGGTGATGGCCGAGGAGACCAACTTCCCCCTGGCTTTTATCATGACCGTGCACAAAGAGTTCGAGACCTTTGAGAGCCTCTTCAAGGCAATCTACCGACCTCACAACCTCTACTGTATCCACGTGGATGAGAAGTCCCCCGCACAGTTCCAGTTGAATCTGCAGCGCTTGCAGAGCTGTTTCAGTAATGTCTTCCTCGCCACCAGAATGGAGCCCATTGTCTACGGAGGGATGTCCCGGTTGGAAGCGGACATTAGGTGCCTGACGGATCTCCAGCGTCTCAGGACTAACTGGAAGTACGTCCTCAACCTCTGTGGTCAAGACTATCCTCTCAAAACCAACCTGGAGATCATTCGACACCTCAAAGCATTTAAAGGCAGGAATATCACCCCTGGCGTTTTGCCTCCAAACCACGCCAAAGTCCGCACGAAGTTTGTGTACAAGCAGGTGCTGTCAGCTAGTCAATCCTATGTCGTCAGAACCAAAAAGGAGAAATCCCCACCTCCGCACAACATCACTATTTACTTTGGGTCTGCCTATTATGCTTTGACAGCCGAATTCGTCGAATTTCTTTTGAAGGACCAACGAGCTTTGGATTTGTTAGACTGGTCTAAAGATACTTACAGTCCTGATGAACACTTCTGGGTAACACTAAACAGAATACCAGGTACGTGCAATATCTGCATTTTCCATATTCATTGTGTGGTAATGGGATTGTACCCTGGATTACTCGTTTAACGCTTGGTAGAGCAGGGATCTCCAATTTTAGGCCGCGCTGATGAAATGGAATCTCGTCGAATGTCAGGTGGCTCGTGGTAGCCCTGTGGCCTCCCAGTCAAAAGGCTGTGGATTTAAGTCTCACTCTAAAGATTTAAGCATTTGAATTCAGTGCACTATTAAGAGGGTGCTCTACTGTCCATGAACTCCTCCTTTTGGTGGGTGGGTGGGAGGTGAGATTGACATCTGATCTTGAAACTTTCAAAGAAGAGCAGAGGGAGTTCTTCCTGGTTTCCCTGGGAATATTTATCACTCCCACCAATTTAACCTATAGATCATTATCATAGTTGAGGTGTTGCTGTGTATATGTTGACTAATGTGTTTCCTGTATCATAACACAATGCTTCAAAATGTGTTTCAAAGGCTATAAAGTACTTTTTTTTTAATACTTCCATAACTTTAAGCTCCTGTATAAATGCACGAAATTCGTTCTTTGCTCCATCTGTTGCTTGCTCAGAGGTGCAGTGCAAAATGGGACCATACAGTTTCATTTTCACTTGGAGTGAGCATGAATCTAGTGTGCAAAGTTCGGATCTTATTCCTCCCAAAAGACCATAGGATGGCTGATGGAATGGAGTGGGAAGAGGAGAAAGAGCACACTGGTATAGTAGCGTACGGTTATGCATGATGCATATTCAACAACTTAAATAACACTTTACTCTGTTTCTGACATTGCTTGATACTGAAGCCACCATTTGGAAATAAGAATTCTATTTCAAACAAACATTCTTTTCGTTCACAATATTTCAGAAAGTAAGTGGGTGGAACAAAATTTTGGCAATGAGCTCATTGTTTTCTTTAACTGAAAAGTCAAGTGTAGTGGGTGCTGTTACACAAGACCCTCTTTGTAAGGTTAAATTTGCAAGTTAGTAATTGGATTTACTTGCCAGCTACTGGATATATTCTGAATGATTGATTTTTAAAAGGTCCTCTAATTCCAGAGCAATGATTCAAAGGTAAACAATTCTTCTGGCATCTTTCATACTTCTGAAAAGTCAGTAGCATAGTGGTAATGTTACTGGATAGTAATCTGGAACCCAGGTTAGTGTTTTGGGGCATGGGTTCAGAAGAACCCAGTAGAAATCTGAAAGTAAAAACCAATTAACAATTACTAACATGCATTGTGGACTCCTTTCCTGTTTGTCTTGCGTAGATTTTCTATAAATAAAGTATTATTTTCCAAACTTTTTTTTTCATTCTGCCTACTCGAGCTGAAATGGGCAGACCAGTGGAACCACAAATGCTTGCAGAATTGAAGGAGGCCACTTACCTTGATGGATCACATTGACCTGTTAGTGTTTGGGAGTAACGTGTAATGGAATCATGGAACGGTTACAGCACAAAAGCAGGCCTTTCGGCCAATTGTGTCCATGCTGATTGTAGCTAATCTTGTTTCCATGCCCTTTACCACGGTCCTGAAAATTGTCTCTCTACAGGTAATTGGAGCACTCCTGAGTCTTGGATTGATCTCTGTTCACCACGCTCTGGAAGTGCATTTCCAGATCATTACTAATCTTTGTATAAAAGCTTTGTCATAAAATCATAAGAAATAGGATCATGAGTAAACTATTTAATCTTCAAACCATTTTTCTCATTCAATAAGATCTTGGCTAATCTGATTCTGGCCTTCAATCCACTTTCCCTGCCTGCTCCACACCACCTGCATAAACATTTTACTCCCTTGTTGACCAAAAATCTATCTAACTGTAAGAAAAGAAGCTTGAGTCTGATTCTGAGAGCAGAATAAGAGTCAAGTGAAATTTTGAAAAAGGAGATTAGGAAAGCGAAGACAAAATATTAAAATATGAGCAAAGACAACACAAAAAGTTCTTATAAAAATATCAAGAGGATAACCGAGGCAAGGTTAGGTATGAAGAAATTTATCATAGAGGTGGAAGATGTGGATATGGTTCTTATTGAATACCTTGGAAATACCTTCTCAAAAGAGGGAGCGGTGCAAACCTCTGGTAGAGAAGGAGTGTGAAATACTGGATGAGATAAGTGTGATGGGGTCATAGTCGCACTGCAGGGAAACAGATCCTTCAGTCCAACTACCAGATGTCCTGAACTGATTTGGTCCAATTTGCCAGCATTTGGTCCATATCCCTCTAAACTCTTCCTATTCATGTACCGATCCAGATGCCTTTTAAACGTTGTAATTGTACCTGCCTCTGTCAGTTTACATTGGCAGATCATTCCATACACGCAGCACACTGAAGAAGTTGCCCCTTGGGTCCCTTTTCAATCTTTCCCCTCTCACCTTAAACCTATGCCCTCTAGTTTTGGACTCCCCTACCCTGGGAAACAGACTTTTGACTATTCACCTTGTCCATGCCTCTTGTGATTTTATAAACCTTTTTATAAGGTCACCCCTCAGCCTCTGCTCGAGGCGGTGGGGGGGAGAAAAAAAGCCCCAGCCTCTCCCCATTGATTCAAATACTCCAATTCCGGCAACATCCCCTTGTAAATCTTTTCTGAACCCTTTGAAGTTTAACAACATATTTCTTATAATAGAGAGACTAGATTTGGATGCAGTATTCCAAAAGTGGCCTCACCAATGGCCTGTACTGCCACATCATGATATCCCAACTCCTATACTCGATGCATGAACCAATGCAGGCAAGCATGCCAAATGTTTTCTTCACCCTACCTGTGAATCCACTTTCAAGGACCTATGCCCTTGCACCTTTAAATCTGTTTGTTTGACAACACTCCTAGGGCTATGAGGTTTTTTACTTTTATATATAATTTTGTATATCTGTGTACAATTCCACATTTATTTTAAGAGTTTGGATTTTTTAAAAAATGGTGTGCCTGGTCTGTCAGTGAAGGGGTTTAATGATTAACTAGTTAAGATTATCTGCAGCCATACTGCTTTCCTTCTAAACAGTGAAGCAGGAAGTGTTTTCTCCCTTCCATACTCTAATCAAACAATACTCCAGTTCCTTTGTGCGAGCAAGTACAAGGGAAACGACACCATTCCACTGAGGGTTGTGGATAAACCACTTCTAAGTATTCCAGGGCTGGTACAGTTAACCAATGACATGGTTCTACACACAACCGGTTATACTACCCAACCATAATTCACTTTACCTGAATCATTAAAGCATTACTTATTCCATATAAGATGCTGGCTACATTCATGTAATCACTTAACCGCTGTTGTGCCAGCCAGACAATGATAGTATACTGGTTTTAAACAAAAACGGAAATTGCTGGAAAAGCTTAGCACGTCTGGCAGCGTCTGTGGAGAGAAATTAGAGTTAATGTTTTGGGTCGAGTGACCCTTGGAATGGGCCTGGTCTTAAGTAGTTTTAGCAGCTTGTACTTGAAATGCTTCTGAACCTCGCTTACTTTCCCCTTTTCGTTCCCCTGTTTGGGCTTTGCCAACACCCAATCAAGGCATAATACATTTGAGAACTGCTCCTGTTCCAGAAGATTGGCTATCTGAAGGATATAGAGAGGAATCCTGAACTAAAATCCTCTGATAGCCACACAAATCATGAAGAGCAGAATATCTCCAGAAACTGTTGTGGTTCCCTACTCAAAAATTCCTAGCCAAATTACCATTCATTCTTCAGCAGCTAATGCCATCGCAGAGTTAACTAATCTCTTGCCACTTTTTCACTTTCCCATTTCAGCACAAGTTCTTTTGAGGTTACTATGTACCTTTTGTAATGAACTATCTGTGTGGCTCTTGACATGGCTAACTGACCCATTTTTGCCAGGAGTGTGGTCTGTGGAAAAACTTATTACTCCCACTGTCTTTCTAAGTAGATGGAAGTTTCCTATTGTAAAGGAGTCTTCAATCTGGATGCAGAAATTTACATTAGTCACATATCCAGATTACCAGAGGTGATTCAAGACCCTTTTTTTTAAAAAAAAAAAAAAGCCTTCTCTTGTACATCTATTGCCATCATGGCATACTTCTGATCTCTTAACCCCAGGTTGCACTTACCTGGCCATTTATGTGGCCACCCAGGGAGCACTGTCATTAATTGGAAACATTCAATATGTTTTGGCAGAATTGGTATTACCAAATGATCTGACAATTATCTACAATTAGACATCTCCTTTTTCTATACTTTGTTTTCTAGCTTTCCTTTATTCTTAATTCTTTATAATCTTTATACTATATCTGTCCTTATAACTGAATAAACTTTGTAACCCTGAGTGATTCTTCTCGGCTTTTGCTTGGCCCTTTGTATGTCCCTTTAATTATTACTGGCTGTCAATCCCAAAACATCATCTGTTATTCTAAGAGTGACCGTGGTAAGAAATAATCATGTAATAATTGCTTGAGCGTCCCTATCCTAACCATTCTATCTGATGTTGGATTTACAATTGTCACGTTTCGTGTGGGGTTCTGTTAGTATGTGCTGGTACTAAGATAATAACAACATATCCTTTATAATCCTGATGATCTATTACATATTTTCAGAATCCTTAGCAGTACTACCCCTCTACATTCTGCATTCTTAAACCTAACTGATTTAAGCCAAATTTTTCATGAGATTTAAATCAATTTGTTGTGATACTTTTGTGCGTGGGTCTAATGACTGGGTATCACCTTGTCTGAAATTCAAGTGTTTGGCTACTAGATCTGCTATCCAGTTTCTCCTCATAGCAGTTAATATTGCACCAGGTCTTTCTGTGCTGCCCACCTCTCCCAATCTAATCACTTCCCCCTTGGCTGCTCCCTGAAACCTCTGGCATACTCTCCTTCATTTGTAGATTTTGTTTTTTTTTTTTTTTGCTGCTACAAACTCCTGTCCTTCATTGTTGATCATATCTATTGAAGCCTGATCTGCCTGGCTATTTCCAACTGTTTGGGTGATCTATTTTAAATATTCACTCTCTCTCTTGTTTTCTATTTTTAAAGCACGTTTC